AGCGATGGCTGCTAGTGAGCCTTCTCTGCCTCTCTCACCGCATCCCCGAGTCTCACGCCCCAGCACAGCAAAAAATTATTCTTGCGCACAGCTCTGCTAGCAAGCCACCCTCACTTTCTGGGCAGAGAGTCCAGCTTCTCCCCAGAAACTGGATTTCGGAGCGATCGGGAGCTTGTCTCTCTTTGGGTTGAAGAAAGCAATGCCCGCCGCCAGCAGGGATCCCCCACCAGCCCTTATCGCGCACACGCCCCCAGACCTCAGTTTTTCGGTCCTTGTGCCCTGATCGTTCTTTTCTCTTCTGGTCTAGTTGTAGAACTTCCACTCAGCCAGCTTTCTCATGGTTCTGGGTGACAGACGTTTTGTCTTTTAGTTGTAGTTTTGAAATTGTTGTGCACGGCAGCAGTTTAGGTATGTTTACCATCGCTACCTCTGGAGGGTTAGATGTGGGTGGAGCGTTGGGCAGTGTGGGGCACCATGGGATGGATGCTGGACTGCAGACCAGGGAGAGACAGCTACTTGCCTGTGGTTACTCAGTAAGCCGGCCTAGGGTGGGGAACAGGCTCACCCCCAATTAATAATTAGCATCTGTGTAACACAGGGGCGACCCAGCTCACGAGAGGTGCTCCCATCAGCAGCTGTGTGTGGCGGGCTGGCTTGGAGGGAGGCATGGAGAACAGTGGGCCGACTGGACTCAGGGTGAATTCCAGTGGGCATTCTCCGAGGGTGAGGTCACCACCTCTAGCTCCCCGGGGCTGCCTGAGTCACAGGCACCGCTGTGCCAGCTCGGGAGCAGGAGGGGGTGGTGCTGGGCCAGGACACGGAGCCACATGGAAGGCCCTCGGCCTGGCACAAGGACGGGCTCCTCCCCGGTGGGTACTGTGGTCCTTATCTCGGGAAGCCTGGTGTTTCCTGTTTAAGACGTAGCTTAGAGTAGGGGAAAGCGTGGTGAGGGAAAAGCAGGGTGATGGACAGGACTTGAGCCTCTACTAGGCACCTCAAGGCTCCTACCCGCTTTGCCATTTCATCTGCACCATGACCTCATTTGGTAATGATTGGTATTAACCTGTTTGTAGATGGTGCGATTCAAGTTCAAACTGGTGAAAATCTTGGCCCCAATGGGAAAGCCGGGTAGCTCATGGGTAAGAACACGACGACTATGGGGTCAAACACAACTGGGTTCTGATCTGAGCTCCAACGCATGCTAATGCTGGCGACATCAACTCCCTGGGCCTCAGTTTCCCCGTCTGTAAGATGGTGATAATAATAGTTGCTGTCTATTGTGAAATTTCAGTGAGATGACATATAACACGCCTTTGGCCAGTGCTAGCCATCGTCATCCCCATTTCACTGGCGTGACTACTGAGCTTCAGGATAGCGAGGCTGCTTGCCAAGGTCACACCGCTGGTGGGTGGCAAAGTCAGGCCGTGAACCCAGGTCAGATTCTCCCTGCACACAACTATGGCGAGCCCTGTGGCGACCCCCCGCTTCCAAAGGCTGTCAGGAGGTGGCTGGAGAGCTGAGGCTGCCTGGAACAGCCAGGGGCCAGATTTCCGATGGGCCCTGGAAGCCAGCACCAGGCCTGGGTCAGGGGCAGGTCTCCAGGCAGAAGCCAGAGGCTGCAGAGCTGCCTGGAAGTGTGCTTGCCCCACAGCATCCTCATCAGCCACGGCCGTGGCCCCAGCATTGTTCTCTGGACCCTCCCAGCCCGGACCCGCACACCAGGATTTCCGGAGGCCTGGCCAGAACTACCTTCACTTTCCGGAGAACTTTCCCCCGGTGGCCGAGGTGGGGACTGCTGGGAAGGCCCTGGCGACAGGTCTGTCAACATCCCCTTGACCGAACAAGTCGTCCAGGCCCCAGAGGTGGCCCTCCTCTCTGAAGCCGAGGGAAGGGAAGGCTGCGACTCATTTTCATTTTGGGGCTGGCTGAACTCGGACTGGCCCCAAGTCCTTTCACATGCACACACCGTGACTCAGGAGGGAGACTGGATGGTCCCTGAGCCCCTCAGCTCTGCCATTGGCTCAGGAGTGGTCTGCAGTCCCTTGCTCTGATATCTTGAGCATCAGCTGCTGCTGCTTCTTCTTTTTTAAATAATTTTAATTCATTCACACCAGATGGCTATGCTGTGTTGGTGGTTGTCATTTTTAAAAAAATATTATATATATTTTATTGATTTTTCACAGAGAGGAAGGAGAGGGATAGAGAGCTAGAAACATTGACCAACTGCCTCCTGCACACCTCCTACCAGGGTTGTGCCCTGCAACCAAGGTACATGCCCTTGACTGGAATCGAACCTGGGACCTTCCAGTCTGTAGGCCGACACTCTATCCACTGAGCCAAACCAGTTTCGGCAGCATCACTTTCTTGAGGGCCTGGTCACTCTCCGGTCTCCGCGTGTTTAGAAGGAACTCACGGTGGTGCCCACCAGTCCTTCGTCCAAATGCTTCTGAGAACGGCTAGCGCTCTCGGATGATGGGCATTCCTAGTTAAAGCGGGTCTCAGCCATCCACTGTCATCCCGCTGCGCTCGGCTGCTCCTCTGTGGAGTGGGGAGAACTGCCTGGCAGGGGTGGGTGTGACGGGGGTGATAGCAGAGAACACCAGTGAGGGAGCCACCTCAGCAAACTCAAGCTCCCGTCCCCACCTCCTGCCCCCCGGCCAACTGGATAGACCGGCATCAGGAGAATAAATACCCAGAAGCCGCACCCTGGACAGCCAGTGGCTGGGGGAGCCTGTGGCTGCGACCCCTTTTCCTGGGCTCAGCAGGGGTCTGTGTTTCAGAGCGTAGGAGGCTGGTGCCCGTGACCCCCAGCAGGACCACCAGGCCCTGCAGCTGCATTAACCCCTCTGCCACAGGCCCAGGAGCCGAGGGGCACCCACAGGGCAGCAGTGGGGCAATGCCGCAGAGCCAGCAGCACCTGGTGAGTTCAGCGTCATGGGATGAGTCAAAGGGGATGCCCCTGAGGAGCCTGTGCCACGGGCAGCCTCACGGGCAGCGGTTGCCAACCTGGGAGGCCATGGGCACCAGCTCACCTTTTAAGGAGAGGGAGCCGAGGCCCTGCCAGACCTCTGCCAGGCTTTCTCCACACCCACCCAGGGCAGAGGCCAGACCCCCCGCTGGGCTCACACCTGGCATCGTCACTCTTTATTTTTAGGCACTGTCACTTTTTAGATGTGACCTTGGGCAAGTGAACTTCTCCGAACCAGTTTCTTCACCTGTGATACAGAAATGCTTGCCTCACAAGAGAGGAATTAAGTGAGGTCATGCGTGTGGAAATCGCTTGGCAAAGGGCACCTTTTAAGGAGTGGCAGTGGGTATAGTAGAAAGGGCCTCGGCTCTGGGTTCTGGCCCTGCCCCTTCCTCCCGGGTGTCTTTGAAAGCTTGGCAGCAGTGCCTCTTCCACAAAAAGAGCTGTCACTACCTGCCTCAGCAGCCGGTTGTGGGATTAAGATCTCACAAACACTACACTTTATAAGCGGATAGGGGAGGGGCAGCTGCCTGGCCTGAGCCCCAGCCCAGGTACCTGTGGGCCTCACGGTCTTCGGTCATCACACTCTGGCCGGCTCTCACGTGTAAAAGGGAACAAGGGGAATGATCACCTTGTGGGGCTGCTGGGGGTGAGGTGCTTAGACCAGGAAGTGCTCTCCCTCACGGCACATGGCTTCCTCCACCATCGCCAGTTGCTGGTCTATTTGCCCTCCATGGCCTTTGAGCTCCCAGGCCTGCCGTCTACCTGAGGCCACGGGCCCTACACCCCATTAAAAAAAAAAAAATACATTTTATTGATTTTTTACACAGAGGGAGAGGGACAGTTAGAAATATCGAGAAACACTGACCAGCTGCCTCCTGCACGCCCCCCACTGGGGATGTGCCCATAACCCAGGTACATGCCCTTGGCTGGAATCAAACCTCAGACCGTTCAGTAGGCAGGCCAACGCTCTATCCACTGAGCCAAACCGGTGGGGGCCCCACATCCCACCTTTGAGGCCACCTCCCTCTCCTGATCATCACAGAAGCCTTAGCCTTCCCAAGGCAGCCCCTGGGCAACCCCTTAAAGACCGGAGTAACTCAGGGAGCGCCGATGGGACACACAAGCTACTGAGAAGTGCACACAGCACCCAGGACCTAGGGGGAGGGTGCCAGCATACCCTGCTGTCCAGCACCCATGGCTCCTGGGAATCTGGCACCCATCTGGGCAACCCAGCCATGGGGCAGCCCACACCCAGGAAGGACATGGAGGCAGGCCCCTCGGCTGGCAGTCTGGTCTGCCTGGCCCTCCGGGATCTAGGAACAAGCGGAGCCCAGCCCCAAGGTTGAGAGGTTCCTGCAGGATGGACAGCCGGCGGGCTCCCTCAGGGGCCATGTGCCCATCAGTAGCGAAGGACGCCCCAGAGGACCAAGGGACCTCCTGCCCCCCGGCCAACTGGATAGACCCAGAGGATCTGTGTAACAGCCCAGGCTTCAGAGATAACCATGTGTCTGGATCTGTGGACCATGAGCCTCAGTGTGCTCATCTGTGTAATGGGGCCAATGACCACCCTGTTGTCTTGTGTGTGAAGGTGCCCCTAGAAAGTGGCCATCACTGACCAGTGCTAGTAGGGAGAGGGCTGATCAAGGGCAAGTGGGTGGTGGGAAGTCAGAGATGGGGAGAGCAGCCCGGCCTGGGAAGGGGTCTCAAGCGCTCCCAGAGCCACAGGTGGAAGCCGGCGACAGTGCAAACCTCCATTTTATTGGTCTCGTTTGTTCACAGCAGAGCCTCCTGCTCAGAGAGCCAAAGGGCCGGCTGGTGGTGAGGGAGGGTGGAGTCTGAGTCTGCAGACTCCCCGAGCCCAGTGTGTTCACTGCCCTTGTGCCTGGCAGGAAAGCAGGGAGGTGGCCCGGGGTGGGGGTTGGGGGGGGAGTGGTGGTGGCTACAGAGTCATTTAGTGTGGGGCCCAGGGTCTGTTCTTCACAGCAGGAGGTAGAAGGATCACATAAAGTTCTTTATTACAGACCTACAAAAAATGAGAGAATTATATATTACTCTCACTTGTTTGGGTTTCTTTTTACAAAACAGCAGGAAAGAAAAATGCAGGAGGCAGATGGGCCAGGCATTGGGGTTAGGACCAGAAGGGCCGGGAGATGAGGACAAGCTGTTACTGGGGACAGGAACATGGCAAGCTGGTCCAGGCTCTCTCTCCAAGCACCTTGGGAGAGCCATGACAGCCCTAGAGGGAGCAGACACTGAGAGTGTGGGCGACCGCTGTCCCCAGGTCAGCAGCAGCACCATGCCCCTGGCGGCCGCCCTGGCAGTCAGCCGGGCTGGAAGCACTGGAAGATCCATGCTTGGAGGCCTGGCCTCCGAACAGGGGCCCTCAGGGCCAGGCAGAAGGGAGGGGGCAGGGAGGGCCTGCACAGGACTGAGTTCTATCAGGGTCCTCCCGGGGCCCCGGCGGGCAAGAGCGTCACGGTTCTTTCCTGCTTGTCAGGCAATCAGCTTCTTCATGAAAGCCTCCAGCTGATCCTCATCCTTGATGCCCACAAACTTGTCCACCACGTCCCCGTTCTTGATGGCCAGCACGGTGGGCACAGCTGACACCTAGACAGAGGGGACAAGGGAAGCAGAGTCATTCAGAGGTGACATAAACTCTCCAGTCGCCATCCCCAGGCCTCTGTGGGGAAGGCTGGTGGCTCGTGCAGGGCAGTGACTGCCCAAAGCCCTGAGCCGGCCCCTTCCCTTGGTGCAGGGAACTGCAGGGCTGAAGGTCCCCCCGGAGGAACTTTTCCGATGTGGGCTCCCAGAAGTACCCTTCCTCCCCCGACCGCATGCCTGACTCACTGGCCCAGTGGTTTGGCTGGAATGACAGATTAAAATAACCCTTGCAGCTGCAGGCCCGGCTGGGGCGGGGCAGAGCTGACGGGCTAAGGGAACTCTCCCGGGGGCAGCCTGGGAGAGGGGAGACCAGCAGATGGAGTCTGAATCTGGCTTCTCGGCTCACTGGCTGAGGGTATGGCCGGGTCACACTCCTCCGGAGCTCAGGGTCCTCTTCCATCAGACAGGGGTGGTGGTATCTAGTTGTCAGTGTGGCTTAGGAACTAACAGGGGTGGTGGTATCTAGTTGTCGGGGTGGGTTAGGGACTAAAGGTTCACATACAGAGCTCAGTGGTTGACATACAGAGCTCTGAAGCCCGCTGAGCCCATCATGGGCCACTCTGGGCAAGCCACTTTGTCACTCTTATGTATCGGTGTTATCAGCAAACCGGAGGTATTAATAGGACTCATATTCCAGGCTGTGGGGGCTGAATGAAGTAATGCATGCAGATTCTCAGCACAGCGCCCCGCACCTGGCAGGGCTGCCAGCAGTGTTAGAACCTGGCACGGTGCCTGGTACACAGTGGGCACTCAGCATGGTGGCTGCCTAGGGGCAGGTCAGGAAAGCCTAACCCAGGGCCCCAGGAGAACCACTTTAGCTCAACGCCAAGATGGTTAAAAGGATCCAGAAAGTCCCCAACTGGTGCTGGACAGTGTGGGAAGAGGGCTCAGCGATATATGGTGTGGCGTTTATTTATTTCGGGGGTCGGAGGCAGCATTCTTGGCCTGTGAAGCGTCCTCTCAAGCTCCCTCAGGGGACCTGCATGGATGACATGGTATGTAAATAAGGCCCGTGGAGCTCTGTAACATGATTTGCTGACAATAACATTGAGCATTTTCTATTCCCTGGGCTCTCTTCTCTGCCTGCCACTGGTGGCCACTTGGAAAAAAATATATAAACACAAGATAAACACTGACTTATCTTACACAAGGCTAACTGCAGCAGTGATTTAGACAAACATACCAGGTCTTCACTTATCCCGGGTGCTGTCCTGCCCATGAGTCACCCTTAGGAGCCAGCCTTAGGATTTGCAATGTTCAGCGGTACGCATGTCAGTTACAAAGAACCACAGGCCACTCAGACTTCATGGGGCAGGCCCTGAACCCTCTCCCAGTGGCCTTTGGGGACAAATGCAGCAGGGAAGATGGCACAGTCCCTGACTTTTGTTAGTGTCTCCAGGGTCCTTTAGGACCAGCCTGGGGATGATGTGGGTGGCATGTGTGGGCAGACCACGCACGTCACTGTTTCCGGTACTTGTCACTCTTAACTCTGGCCTGGGTGATGGCATGAAGTGTAAGAGTCCAGCACGTGGCCTGCGCCCTGTCTCCAGACGTGGGCAGGGCCCAGAAAGCTTGCTCCCGGAGGCACCAGGAGCCATCCAGGCACATGGTGGGATGGTAAGATTACGGGGCTGGTGCTTTGTTCTTTTGCACCCTCTAGTGGTCTGTGAAGGGAGCGTCCTCAACTCCGGCAACTTTTCAAACACCAACTTTAACTTGGCCTTGCTGGATCCCACCCTGTCCTCTCTCCTTTTTTTAATTATCAATATTTCTTTCTCGCTGGCCATGGCTTTGTCCTCTGTTTCTTAACAGAAACAAAAGCTGTATGTCATTGCATGTGAAGTGACTGAATTGTTTTTACGTGTCCTCTAAGCAGGACTGAAGTGGACTTGTTTTCCTCAAGAACTCCAGATAAGTCCTGTCATGATAGCACAGTGCAATCACACGTGTGCTCGCACATACAGATCGTGCAGCTGTTGGGTGTACAGCATGCATGTCATGACTGTATTTGTATGATAACCAAGGTCTGTCATTGCTGATCAAGGGTGTTCTTTGAAGTTTAAGCTTACACATGTATGCACACCAAGAGCCACGGGCATGCCAGAGCCTGTGTTTTCCGAACACTGCAGGGGTACCGGGGCTGTGACTGGGCTCCCCTCACCCCCAAGGAGGATATGGCTCAGCTGATCTGAGTTCAGGAGGAGCTGGTGCCTATAAACACGGCCTTAGGGAAGTGCACAGGTCCTGGGCACATCCTCCTGGAGCTTAGGGCCCTGCCAAGCCGTCTCCCCCAGTTTCTTCCAACTATTAAGGATTTACCAAGGGACTGGCACAGTGGTAGGTTTTTTAAATTTTTAAAAATATTTTGTTGATTTTTTTCACAGAGAGGAAAGAAAAGGGATAGAGCCAGAAACATCGATGAAAGAGAAACATCGATCAGCTGCCTCCTGCACACTCCCCACTGGGTTATGTGCCCGCAACCAAGGTACATGCCCTTGACCGGAATCAAACCCGGGACCCTTCAGTCTGCAGGCCGATGCTCTATTCACTGAACCAAACCATTTAGGGCCACAGTGCTAGGTTTTGTAAGGGACTGGCGACCTCCTCCTAGCTAACTGTAGAACTAACGCAAAGGGAGAGATCACTGACACTCTGGCTGCCACATAGTAGGCACTTGTGTGTGCTATCTCATAAATTCTTGCCTCAAGGTGGGGTCATTTTCAAGACGACTGAGGCACACAGATTGAGTGACAAGGAATAGAGCCATGAAGCAGTGATCAAATTACCCGGTATCTTGGCCCAAGAACGAGAAATTGGAGGTAAACACCACGTCCCCACAGGCTAGGAAGCACAAGCAGAGAAGTGCTAAGAGGAAGCCAGGTTTCAAACGAGAAACGCCAAGTGCTTCGTAAAAGCTTTTAAATGCAGGAGGATTCCGGGAAAACTACTATTGAAAAAATCAAATCCAACTCCATGACCTTGTGGAAAAGGCCACACCATGGAGACCGTAGAAAGGTCAGCGGTTGCCAGGGGTTCATGGGGAGGAAGGAAGACAAGGGGAGCACAGGGGATTTTAGGGTGGGGAGACTGTTCTGTATGATCCTGTAATTGTGGACACGTGTCATTGAAATTTTTTCCAAACCACCAGGAGGGAACTCTCTCACTGACAGGTTGACAGGTGAGAAAGGCCTTTGCAAGAGTATCATGGCCCATGGCCAGCCCAGGGCTTTTTTCCCCTAAAATATTGTATATTTTTATTGATTTCAGAGAGGAAGGGAGAGGAAGAGGAGAGACAGAAACATCAATGTGAGAGAGAATGAGAGAACCATTGATCGGCTGCCTCCTGCATGCTCCCCCCCACCCCCCTCAAGGAATTGAACTGTGGCCACATCAGCCAGGAATTTTGCTCCTTGATACCTGGTACCAGATTCCCAGTGGCATCACCGGGAAGCTTATTAAAGATGCAGAATCTTGGGCCCTACCTGGATCTACTGAATCAGTCTGCTTTTCAACATCCAGGTCATATTCATGTTTGAGAAGCACTGATTTAGAAGACGTTCAAAACAGGGGATATGGTAATGAATGAACTATACAGTACATTCCAGCTATGAACTGTCTATGAAGTTATGTGGAACATGGAAAAGAAAACTAACAAAAAAACCCAAAAGGGACCCTAAAAGTTGGCAGTGGCTGTTTGGATGGTAAGATTACAGGTGACTTTCCCCCTCAGAGTTACTTGGCTGTAATTTTTCTAATGCTTTTTGAAGGGCACTCTGTCAGATTGGAAAATAAAAGGGTAAAATGCCAAGGATGAGGTCAGAAGCAGAACCCAGAGGAAAACATAAAGGCTCAAAGATCCACACCTGGATCCACAACTTCCCCGTAGCTGGGAGATCTGGGATACCCAGCATTCTGCGGGAACCAGGAGCTGGGAGAGCAAGAGCGCTTCCTGCCCCATGCCAGGGCGGCAGAGTCTGGGCGAGGGGGCTGCCACAGAACACCAAAACCCAAGGCCCTGCGTGACTTTTCTCTCCATCTTCTTTGGAAGACAGTGAAATTCTAGGGTGGGCAGTTGACTGTACATAAAAAGTGGGATGTGAGCCCGGCTGGTGTGGCTCAGTAGATGAGCGTCAACCCAAGAACCAAGAGGTCGCTGGCTCAGTTCCCGGTCAGGGCACAAGCCCAAGTTGGGGCTCGATCCCCAGTAGGGGGTGTGCAGTACACCCATGTTTCTCTTTCTCTCTTTCTTTTTAAAATATCTTTATTTTTTAAAGAGAGGAACGGAGAGAGATAGAGAGTTAGAAACAAGGATAGGAGAGAAAACATCGATCAGCTGCCTCCTGCACACCTCCTACTGGGGATGTGCCCTCAACCAAAGTACATGCCCTTGACCGGAATGGAATCTGGGACTCTTCAGTCCGCAGGCCGACGCTCTATCCACTGAGCCAAACCAGTTAGGGCTATGGTGTTTCTTTCATTGATGTTTCTATCCCTCTCCCTTCCCCTCTCTCTAAAAATCAATAAAAACATTAAAAAAAAATGCGATGTGAGGGAAGGGTATTTGTGTGAGGAAAGAGGCCCGTGAGGGTGTGCTGGGCATGGGGGCTGTTAGGCGGGCTCGGGAACAGGCGCCTAATTCCATGCATATAATTGTAAGCAGTTCCTCCAACACGTTATCCAACATTTGGAAGAGCACTCAGGCCTTGGAGGAAGCTATCCCCGGAGGTACTACGGATTTCTTAGCTGACACGTCTTCCTCAGGCTCTCTGCCAAAGGAGCAGGTGTGAAGGAAGGAAGGGCTTCGGAGGGTCAGGAAGCGTCCCTGTTGAAGCTTCCTAAGCCTGCAGTGACAGCTGCCCAGGGCGTGGCAAAACAAAGAGGATGGGCTCAGGTGGCTGGGCCCAGCAGCCTTGGGGTCTTTCTGCGGGACCCACACATACTATCTGGACAGTGAGAGGAGAGAGATCTTATAAGAGTCCTGTTTCCCCCAACACACACCCCTTTCTAGGCTTAACACAGGACCTCGGTGCCCAGCCCTACATCACAAGGCCCCTGGAATGCAGGTGGGGTGGCCTGGGAACTGGACTGGGGTACTCTTCTTCTCATCTGCACTTGTCACCACGTTCCTGGCACAGGGTGTGTCTGCTGAGGTTCCACTGGCGGAGGCTGAAGCTGTGGTGTCTGGCAGTGCCAGAGGGAGCGTAAGACGTTAAGCCTGCCCATCACCCCGGGGATGCCCAGGAGCTCCAGCCCTAAGCTCACACCAGAAGGTCACAGCCTCTCTCTCAGCTGCCGTGGGCTTCCGGGGGACTGATAGACAACAAGGGAAAGCAAGGGGCAGCTAAAAGGTCAGGCAATGCTCCTTTGACTGAGTGATCAGTGGGAGAGCTTTTGAAAACTACAATAACTCACCCCCCACCCCCACCCCCCCAAGCTCTTGTAAGCAGCTGCCCCAGTGCCATGGTGTTCTAAGTAAAAAGCTAGGAAAATTCCGGGACAAGCAGAATATGGAAATTAAGGCAGGACTTACATCCACCTTGTAAATCCTATTTTCCCTAAACCAAGGACACTTGAGAGTAAATGCTTTTGCCTGACTAGTGTAGGTCGGTTGTTAAGCATTAATCTATGAGCCAGGAGGTTTCAGTTTGATTCCTGGTCAGGGCATAGGCCCGGGTTGCAGGCTTGATCCCCAGTGTGGGGTGTGGAGGAAGCAGCTGATCAATGATTCTCTCTCATCACTGATGTTTCTCCCTCTCCCCCCCTCTCCCTCTCTGAAATAAGTATATATATATATATACAATATATATATATATATATGTATGTATGTGTGTGTGTGTGTGTGTGTGTGTGTATATATATATGTATATATATATATATATATATATATATATATATATATATATATAAATATATATAAAGAGTATAAGGTTTTCACTTCTTCCCAACCAGAGAGTAAATAGCTTAAATTACCCTACACAGGGATACAGATAACAGAAATCCGATTAAGTGCCATTTGCCAACTACACCCAAGGACAGAAAAATTAAGAAAAGAAATCTCACTTTTGGTAATCAGCATAAAGCTGGTAAACATTCTATTGACCTGCCCCTAAGAACTCCCCTAAACACTCAGACTTTAAAACCGGTGAAAAGGAAGGTCCCGGGGCACTCTCCCTCCAGGGAGCACCCCTGTGCCATTCCCCTCTGCCTCAGGCACATGACCCCTGACCTCTATGGGACCCATGAGACAAGCAATCAAAAGAGCAGTGGTCCCTCTTTCCATGTCCTTAATGTGCTTGTGTTGTGGTCAGTAAACTCTTGCTTACTTTTCTACACTTTCTCTCTCTCTCTCTCTCTCTTTTTTTTTTTTTTTAAATAAATTTTATTGATTTTTTTACAGAGAGGAAGAGAGAGGGATAGAGTTAGAAACATCGATGAAAGAGAAACATCGATCAGCTGCCTCCTGCACAACCCCTACTGGGGATGTGCCTGCAACCAAGGTATATGCCCTTGACCGGAATCAAACAAGGGAACTTTCAGTCTGCAGACCAACGCTCTATCCAGTGAGCCAAACCGGTTTCAGCTACACTTTGTCTCTTGATAGAAATCTTTCCCTCAAGAAGAGAGCTGAGGGCTCCTCTCTCCCAGGTAACAGATGGTCTGTTAATAACACCTGCAGCAGTCACTAATGGCTTAGCCTGCCCAGCATAGGTTTCCTTTGCCTCTGGCCAGGGCAGGCTGATTTTCCTCAGGTGATTCCTCAGTCCCAGCTCAACGGGCCCCACCCTCCACCGCACTCCCAGCTACAGGACAGGCTGGAGGATGCGCATCTTTGCCAGAACTTCCAAATTCTGAGAAGGAGGCACCCTCTTTCAGTCACTTGTTATCTGAAGGAGGGACAGGAGCTGAATCATTCCAGCCAGATCCAGGTGTTTCCAGAGAAAGAGTGATCCGTTTGGTATTTTAAGCAAGCTCTGCTGCAGGCACACAGGCCCTGCTATTCGGTGAGAACCTGACCTCAGGGCCTTTGCATTTGATGTCTGTTCGGTCCAGACTGCTTTTCAACAGCTGCAAGGTTCACCCCCTACTCCCTCCAGGCCTTAGATAAGGACTTCTCACTGAGACCTTCCCTAGCCCACCTTTTAAAAAAGGAAACCCTCCCAGCCTCAGCACTCTCACCCCCTCTCCCTGATTTATTTTTCTCAATAGCATTTATCATCTAAGATAGAGATCAGAGACTATTGCCCATAGGCAAACTCAGAGCACTTCCTGTTCTTTTAAACAAAGTTTTATTTACACATAACCACGCCTATTTGTTTATATACTGTCTTTGGCCCCTTCGGTGCTACAATGACAGTTGAGTATTTGCCCTACGAGTCCCCAAATATGTACCATCTGGTCCCTTAGAGAAAGTTTGCTAACCCTAACTTCAAAGGAATGCATCAATGTCCCGAAATGCAGAGGACCGCCTGGTCGTGCATTCTGCTTTTTACAGGTGGTAAGAGACACGTGGCTCAGAGATTCAATGGAGTCACATTTGCAAAGTGCTGTGAATTGCTGACAGCTCTAGGAAAACCAAGACACCTCCCCTGGTTGGTCTCCAAGACATCCAACTCCGGCAACAGCTATCTCCTAGCCCCAAGCACCCCCCAAACCAACTGCCCTGCGGCAATCCCCTGCCCATCCATACCTCATACTCTATGGCGAGGTCTGTGTGGTCGTCAATATCCACCTTGGCCATCACCACCTTCCCATGCTGCTTGGCCACCACCTTCTCTAACCGTGGCCCCAGGATCTTGCAGGGACCACACCACCTGGGAAGGGGAGAAAGGAAGCACCCTGTCACAAAAGCACTCACCAAGTGATCAATGGGCTCCCCAAAACATGCCCTTGACCCTCATCCTTCCGAGGGACCTTTTGCCTTTATACCTCTGTTTATAGTGTTTGAATATTAACCTGTCATGCTGCTATGCCAAATGGCAATGCCAAGAGACTCTGTAACTGGGCCTCATCCTAAGACTCTTATAAAGGTTTTTTCACTTACTTCAACAGAGCGAAAAGAAATGTATTGTCGCCGAAACCGGTTTGGCTCAGTGGATAGAGTGTCGGCCTGCGGTCTGAAAGGTCCCGGGTTTGATTCCAGTCAAGGGCATGTACCTTGGTTGCGGGCACATCCCCAGTAGGGGGTGTGCAAGAGGCAGCTGATCGATGATTCTCTCTCATCGATGTTTCTAACTCTCTATCCCTCTCTGTAAAAAATCAATAAAATATATTAAAAAAGAAAAAAGAAATGTATTGTCATATGGAAAAACACAGGATTTGAGGTTAAAAGGTTTGGGTTCAGAGAGAGGCTCCTCACCAGCCAGCTGGTCGTTTTGGGGCCCGGTTTCCTCATTTGAAAAAGAGACCACTCTCAGGGCTGCTTTGAGAAATCAGCGAAGGCAACACGGGTGAACATGCCTTGTAAGCTGTAGGATTACACTGAAGGCTTCATTGACTCAGAACTAAAAGGAGGGGAACCAATGGCTGGGCGGTAACTACAACATGTCAGTCACTGTGCCAGGACCTTCTCAGCTTTCCCTACAGAACCCTCCACCCTGCAAAGGGAAAGAAAACTGAGACACGGAGGCCCATGCAAATTAAGAAACTCATGCGAGGTCACAGCTGGTAAGAAGCACAGCGGAGTCTGCAATGCAAGGTTGTGTTCCAAGTGTCTTCTCTAGCCTCAGGCCACACTGTGATCCCCAGGCCCCGTGTGAGCAGCTATGGCTGCACTGAACACCGTGCTTCCAGGTGGCGAGCTTTCAAGAACAGGCTGTCATCCCTGGGTATGTGGCACTAAGGACAGTGCCTGGCACTGAGACTGAATGAACAAACTCACACCCTGCTTCCTTGCCAATAAGAAAATGAAGAGGCTGAAACCAGTTTGGCTCAGTGGATAAAGCACTGGTCTGTGGACTGAAGGGTCCCAGGTTTGATTCCGGTCAAGGGCATGTACATTGGTTGCGGGCACATCCTGGTGGGGGGTGTGCAGGAGGCAGCTGGTCTGTTTTTCTCTCATCTATGTCTTTAGCCCTTTAGCCCTCTCATTTCCTCTCTGTAAAAAATCAATAAAATATATTTTAAAAAAAGAAAAAAAATGAAGTGTCACCCCACTTACCATTCATTTCACACTGATTTTTAGAGTGGAAGGGAAAGAGGGTGGGAGAGATCTGTTGCCTCCTGCATGTGCCCAAATCGGTGCGGGGGGAGGGGGGGGTGGCAAACCTGCAACCCAGGTATGTCACCTTGATTGGGAATCAAACCTGAGACCCTCTGGTGCAAGGGCCAACACTCTAACCACAGAGGCATACCAGCCAGACTATCATTCATTTTGGAAGTCCTCTCTGGAGTGCTCCCTATACCAGGAGGGCAGAATAGCTTTGCCGTCCACGAATCCCTGGCTGTTCACTCCTATTTTATTTTCAGGCTTTAAAACCCTTTCCATTCAGAGATTTCAACACCTAAAAACCTAGTCTGCACGACCTTGTCTCCTGTTACAAGTGAAGAAAGGGAAGTATAAGGGTATCAAATGGCCTTCCCCGGGTGACATGGTGAGTCAGAGAAAACAGGAAAAAAAGTGAAAGAATCTCAGAGATTTGTGCAGAAAGCCTCCCAACTTGTAACTCCAGTTACACTGGCTCCTTCTAGAACTCACCGTCCAGTTTTTTGTTTTTTTTGTAGCCAGGCCCCAAAAGTCTAGAAGTGAAGGCCATAGGCACTAAAACATACAGAAGCCGAAACCGGTTTGGCTCAGTAGAGGGTCTCAGGTTCGATTCCGGTCAAGGGCATGTACCTTGGTTGCGGGCACATCCCCAGTTAGTGGGTGTGCAGGAGGCAGCTGATAGATGTTTCTCATTGATCTTTCTAACTCTCTAACCTGCCTCTCTGTAAAAAATCAATAAAATATATTTAAAAATAAAATAAAACATACTGAAAACAAACTTATACGGCACTGAAAAGAAACTCCTGCCCATTCCCCGCATGCTGGGCACTAGGTGGCGGTACTGAAAACTTTTAGCTATCCCTTCCCAGTTTGGGTGGTAAAATGTTAAAAAATAAACTTAGCTGCAGGCCCAGGAAGGACCTGGTATACACCAAAAGCCAGATGATGCTCTAGTTATTCTTCCTGCTTTGGTCCAAGCTGAACATGGCTGAGCCATCTGGGCAGTGAATACAGAACACAAGTGGTTCCTAGCACTAATCATAGTGAGCTCTCATGACTGTTTACTGGCCCTGGGCGGTTTGGCTTAGTGGATAGTGTTGGTCTGTGGACTGGAGGGTCCCGGGTTTGCCTGGTTTGGTCCGGTCAAAGGCACGTGCCTGGGTCATGGGCTCAATCCCCACTAGGGGGTGTGCAGGAGACAGCCAATCCATGATTCTCATCAATGATGTTTCCATCCCTCTCTCTCCCTTCCTCTCGGAAATCAATAAAATAAAATAATAAAAATAAAATAAAAGACTGTTTACTCGTCTGTCCCCTAGCAGACTACATGCAATCTCTGAGAGCAGGGACTGGGTCTTCCCAGTATTTGTAGCAGAAGCATCAAACATGGTACTGAGACACAGCTGACACTCAAAATTATCTAAACACCCCAGTCTTCTCCTGGACCCCAGGACTCACTGTGCATGAAAATCCACAACCACTGGGGTCTCACTGTTGACAACTCGGTCTTGAAAGTCGGGTCCGTCCTGGATGTTAAAGGTTGTTGAACAGACTCTGGTGGTGTGTAACGGCCGGGCTTGGCTGGGTGTTATTGCCAGGTCACCAGGTCTGTGTTGTGGGGTCTGCAGAGCCCTGGAGATGAGGGGTGCCCACCGACTTTGAGGGGGTTTCCTGGAGATGGCGGAGGCCAGGAACCTCCTCAGGAGAAGTCGCTGAGCCATCTGTGAGGGGAAAAGGCAGGAAGAGTTGTGGCAAGAGAACCAGCGAAAGGTATTTGGGAGGACTGGGGGGCTCAAGATTCAGGGCTGGAAGCAAAATGCCAGGAATTATATAAGTTTTCTGGAGTGGAGGCGAGTGAAGAATGAGAATCAAAGGGAAGAAGGAATTGCAAACCGGGAGAGGATAATTGGGTTGACAACCAGAAAGAAATCAGGACATTGCTGTTTTTACAACAGATGAATGGGAGGGGGGAAAACAATACTGCTAAGAGCCAAGTGCCTTAGATACACTATATGTCCTCCCAGATCAACTTTTAAGAAAGTTTTTACATACAGGATTGCCGGTATTTAGGGATAAGGAAGCCCAGGCTCAGTTGTGGCACGCCCAAAGTAACCCAACCATTCTTACATAAGAGTCAACACTGGAGCCCTAGGCCGCCTGCAAATTCCTTACGCTACCAATTCCTTTTAGTAAGTGTTTTAGTGGGAAAATAAGGGGAAAGGGAGGTTGTAAACAAACCAGGTAAGAGGAACCACAACTCATGGAGGAACGAAAAGGTACAGAAACAGGAGTGTGGGGGAGTAACTAAAAAAGAAGGAACGCATGTGTGGAGGGAACTGGGGAAATCCGACCCCACCAGGAACTCGGGCTCCTCCGAAGGCAAGTCCTCCCGTCCTGGCCTCCTTCCGGACCCCGCGGGAGCGCGCCCGCAGCGTGCCCGGCCGTGACACCACCCCCGGCCACCCACATGGGCTCCTTACCTCCCTGCAGCGGCGAGATGCACAGCCCGGCCCTCCCGCCTGTCAAGGGCACTTCTGCCGTCACTTCCTGAGAGGCGGGCCTTTTGTCGTCACTTCCGGGGACGGGCCACCTGGGGCAGGACTCAGCGCAGCTGGAGGGTGTGGCTCGGCTTTCGGCCAATGAGGATGGCGGGAAAAGTGAAAGCTAAAGGGGCGGAGCCTCCTGTAGGGACCGGAAAGAAAGAGCTCTGGAGAGTGGGGAAGAGACCGGAAAAGGAAGGGCGGGCCCTAGGGGAGGGTCCGGAAAGGCGGTGGCTCTCGGGGGAGGGACCGGAAGAGGCGGGCGGGCTCAGGAGGAGGATCCGGAAGAGGAGGTGGAGGGAGGCGGGAACGCGAGGGAGGTACTATTGGGAGGGGAGGGAGGAAGGGAGGTGTGATTCTGGAGTTTGCAAGCTCAGTCTGCTTTAAGCTCAGCCACCACTGCCCATCCTTCTGCCTCATTCATTGGCTTCCCCAGACTCCTAAGAGGTGCTGGAAGGTCCTTTCCGTCCATGTTTCCAAATAAGGGAGCTCAGCTCCTGAAAGCTGTAGTTCAGAGGCATAGGATTGGGAGTCAGGAGGCAGCTTTTGGCCCTTTTCTGTGAGTTCGGGTGCCCCTGGGGCTTTAGCTTCCAGATGTGTGACGTGGAAGGCTGGGCTTCTCGGGCATCAGACATTGTGGATACTCGGAGGGCCTGCCTTTGAGGCCCCAGGCAAAGTGTGGTGACTGAACCTGAACCCTGCACACTGGGAGTTCAGAGCTTGCCACCCTAAATGTGCTTCTGTGGAATGTGGATTGTTTGGAGATGAGGACAGTTTTAGCTTCAGGCTCAAGAGAAACCTCTGTGCCTCCCTTTAACTACCAGGAAGAAATTGAATTAGGGGCCTTGCCCATAATAAGAGATTATCAGCGATAACTTGTTAATCCTCACCTGAGGATATTTTTCCATTGATTTTTAAAGAGTGGAAGTGAGGGAGAGATAGAAACATCAGATGTGAGAGAGACACACTGATTAGTTGCCTCCCGCACTTGCCCTGCAACCAAGGTACATGCCCTTGACTGCAATCGAACCCAGGACCATTCAATCTGGGGGCCCACACTCCAGGGCAGCAATCTTTTTTTCTGATTCATCTATATATATCCGCGGTGGTCCGTGAGGTTCGAAAGATTGGCACCCATTGACCTACCTGACAGCAAACTTCTGTTTACTAAAGGTCTGTTGTTATCATTTTGCAATAATCCTTTGAAGCCCCCAAGGCACCTTTCCTCATCCCTAGCTCAAAATGTCTTCTGTACCCGGTTCTCTTTCTATCTCTGAACCTCTCCTGCATGTGGGAATCTCTGGCTCCTGTATGAGGGCTTCTCAGACATATGTATGAAACCTGGTTATTTTATCTTGCTAATCTGTCCTGTGTCTATTTGATTATTAGACCAGCTAAAAGAACTTGGAGGGCAGAGGAACATTTGTCCCTCCCTTTCTGACAGTAGGAGTCCAGGCTTGTCTCCTCTGCACCCTGTACTCATGGCCTCTTACGGTTCTGTGAATACATCAATATGTTTTTCTCCTCACCTCTGCTTAATTTGGAATGTTTTTCTCTCTCTCCACTTGATTGAACATCTAGACTACTCACACCTCTCATTCATTCCTTCCTTCTCTCGAGTGCTTTGTTTCTAACTCTCACAGAGCACTTTGCAGTGTCTGTCTCTTCACTAGACCATACGCTTCCTAAAAGTAGGCATTTGTAGCTTTCATCTGACTCCATATGCCCAGCACCAGCCTGATACACTGCCTCGCCCTCAGAGGATGTTTAATAGACGCTCCTTAAGCTGAGCACCTTTGTATATCAGAGGGAGTGGAATACAGTCAGAGAGGTTACGTGACTTGTCCAAGGTCATGAAGCAGGTACCTGGGCAGCGTCCATCTTATACCTCCATTCAGCCTACACGCCAGCCAGTGGGAATTGCAGTTTCAGAGTTTTTACAAATGTCTCTCCCCTCCCTGGGAGACAGGGTATGTGGGGGAATAGCTGCTATCGGTAAAAACCACAGGAGCTGTGAGGAAGGAGGAAGATGACCCTCGCACCGAATTTGTGGCTGAAAACCAGCAAAGGCCAGTTTGATCCAACATGGCAACTAATTTCACCTGGTGGTACCCCCTAATTTCACCTGGTGGTACCTCAGTATATGCTCATTACTTGCTAAATGACACACCACACCATCATCCTTGGAAAGAAAAAGCCCATATAAGGGCATGGAATGGCTGACTGAGCTCCCCAGAGAAATCTCCACCCTTTTCCCCAGAAGATCTTGAATATTCCTGTCCCTTATTAAATTCCTTACACCCCGGATTAAATGCATCTCAATAAAGGAAGCAAATTCCGATAAAGGGGGCTCCTCCATTGATGGAGTAGCCCATTCTCCATCTCACTGCTTCACTAACAAAACAACAGTCACTTTAAACTATGCTGGCATTTGAATTCTTCCCTGCAGGAAGCCAAGAATGCGCCATAGGCTGAAACCGGTTTGGCTCAGTGGTAGAGCATCGGTCTGCAGACTGAAAGGTCCCGGGTTCGATTCCGGTCAAGGGCATGTACCTTGGTTGCGGGCACATCCCTGGCAGGGGGTGTGCAAGAGGCAGCTGGTCGATGTTTCTCTCTCATCGACGTTTCAAGCTTTCTATCTCTCTCCCTTCCTTTCTGTAAAAAATCAATAAAATATATTAAAAAAAAAAAAAAAGAAAAAGAAAAAAGAAAAAAAAGAATGCGCCATGGGTCACAGATCCTTGGTCCCCAGGCATCATCCTGCATCATCTGCACTTTGTATTGCTGGTCCCTATAACGGGGAGACTTTTCCCTCTACTCTCCCTCCACCTGAGAGAAGCTTCCAGATACCAGACTAACACGTTAAGGGCCCAGCCTGTTTTGTCAGTCAACACACTCGGTATTCTGTTCTTACTGTTTCTTTTTTTTCTTTTTCTAAATGTGTGTGTGTATATATATATATATATATATATATATATATATATATATATATTTTTTTTTTTTTTTTTTTTTTTTTTTTTTTACAAAGAGGAAGAGAGAGGGATAGAGAGAGTTAGAAATATCCATGAGAGAGAATCATCGATCAGCTGCCTCTTGCACACCCCCTACTGGGGATGTGCCCGCAACCAAGGTACATGCCCTTGACTGGAATCGAACCTGGGACCTTTCAGTCCGCAGACGGACGCTCTATCCACTGAGCCAAACCGATCTCGGCTGTTCTTACTGTTTCTGTATCCCTCACTCCTCACTATATTGTCAGCTTCTGGGTCCCATCTGTCTCTCCATTGCTTACCGCAGGACTTGGTGCATCATAGAGGGAACTCTGATGGTTTGTCCATCAGACAGCAGGGATCCTCATCAAACTTTCCCATCATATCATAGCTCCATGTTGCCTTCTAAAGTCATTGCCATGCTTCCTCTCCCTCCAATTCATTTTGGCCACAACATTATTTGTCTCTGTCCAACTGGCAGGTTCACTCCTTCACTGCCCTGGTGGGCAGGGCCTCAGCCCCAGCTGCCCAGGGGCCTCCCTCTGGCACGGGGTGAGGGAATATTTGGGATAGGGGCACATCCCCTGCCCACCAGCAGCCATGTCAGCCTTCTATTGAGAAAGCCCCTTGTTCATCGCAGGCAGAAGACTGGGTGAGGGCCTGAGCAGCATGGCCTTCTCCACCTTATCTGAACTCATGCTTTATCCTCTGTCCCCACCTGGGATTGGAGCCAAGAGTGGGGATCCACAGGGGGACCCCTAGTACCCCTGGCTCTCCTGAGGTCAGCATCCCTTGGTGCAGCTGTTCCTGCTGATGCCCAATGCTATCTGGCAGGGCACTTCCACCTTGTCCATTTTCATTTCTGTTTTTCTGTGTCTCCAGCACTTTCTCTTCCAGAGCCACCAATTGACCCTATTCAGCATTTCAACAGCATTTTCTGGAAGGCCAATGCCCTTGCTTAATTCACAGTCCAAATTAAAAGGAAAACCAGTCCTATGTATTCTTTAAAATACATATATATACGTGTGTGTGTGTGTGTGTGTGTGTGTGTGTGTTTATTGATTTTAGAAGGGGAGGGAAAGAATCATCAACCTGGGCCAGGAATTGAATAAGTGAGCTCTTAGTTCATAAATCAATGCTCAACAACTCAGCCACACCAGCTGGGCCTATTTATTCTTACTCCATAGTCACTTCATCTCTGTTAGCCTCAGGCTTGTCATCTACCTTCTTCTCAGGGCTGTGAGGTTGCAAGAAGGTTGGGTACAGGGCCTGGTGCATTGTGAGGGCCTGATGAAGAATGAATGAATCTCCTTCCGTCCTGAAGAGGGAAAGAGAGAGCCAGAGAAGCATGTAGAGAAGGCTCCTCAGCTACAGGGAAGCTTGTCTGCCAAATCAAAGGCAGGTTAATGTGCAGGTGTGAGGGGCAGGGAAGGAAGCCAGGACTGGCAGCCTGCACTAGGGTAAAGCTTTTACTGCTACCTGTCTGATATTTATTGCAGTTTTTCAGCCTGTGATATATGAGTCACCAGTGGGTTGTGATCAGTTTTAAAAAGATGAACAGAATTGGGGGACTCTTTCTCCTCCCCATGTGGGAGTCTGTGCTTTCTCAACAACTTTCCACCTTTTGCTATCTATAATAATAAAAGACTAATATGCAAATGGTTATCACACCGAGATACCATAATGACCAATCAGCAGGAGGTGCTGGAGCATCTCTTGGGTCCTTCCACACACACACACACACACACACACACACACCCCTGCGAGCAGCAGCTCTTGTGGCATGGATGGGAAATGAGGCGCCTCCTCACAAGGCTGGTGTGAATGGGACGTGGGAGGGCAGTTGGC